AAAGATCAGTGCCTTACTGGTTGGCAGGCATAGAGTAAAGATAGTAGTGCATTGCTGGTTGGAAGGCATGCAAAAAGATTGCAGGGCAGTGAGTTGCTGCCTGCAGAGGCCACGATGCCTGTAGTCCCAAGCCTGCCTATCAGTGATGTATCCACCCTGGCTTTGGGGTGCCTCTTTGTCTCTCTCTTTGTCTCCTTTGTCTCTTTCTTTCTGTGTATTCTTGAGTCGCCGTCAGGTATCCTCTCCTCGTGAACTGAACCCCAATGTCGAGGCGGGTCCCCGACAAGAAGAGACTCTGAAACTTGCTCTTGAGCACAGAGAAGCTAAGGCAAATACAAGAAATGAGACAGTAAAAGAGCTGAAAAGAAAATTTCAAAGGGCAATTTGAGATGACAAATTCAATTATTACAATGAAATGTGCAAAGATCTTTAGAAAACAAAAGGTAGGAACATTTCCAGCATTTCTAAAAAATTAGAAAGCTTTTTGCTAACTTTCTAAAAAGCTAGAAAACAAAAAGGTAGGAACAATTCCAGCATTTCTCAAGTTGAAAAGTACTGAGGAAAATATTCAAGCCTTGGTTTGCAATTTGAAGGATTCTATGGGCAAAATTTCTTGGCATAAATAAGTGAATGCCTCCAGTGCTGCATCAATTTGTTGAAAGATTTCAATTTGTGTTCCATCAATTCCCGGTGCCTTATTCTTTGCCAATGACTTCTATGCACCTTGGATTTCTTCCTCCAGGATCCTTGGCTCTATATCTATATCTTGAAATGGTTGAACATTGACCATTTCTTTTTGGAACAGTGACTCTGTGTATGCCTTCCATCTTCTTTTGATGCTTTCTGCATCATTTAATATTTTGCCCATAGAATCCATTAATACCACAAGCTGAGGTTCATGTTTTTTCTTCAGTTCCTTCAGCTTGAGAAATGCTGAGAATGTTCTTCCCTTTTGGTTTTCTAACTCCAGGTCTTCGCACATTTGTAATAATTGAATTTATCATCTCAAACTGCCCTTTGAAATGTACTTTTCAGCTCTTGTACCTCCTCACTTCTTACAAGTGCTTTAGCATCACTATGCTGTAGAGCAAGTTTCAGAGTCTGGTCTTTAGTGTTTAATGCATCAAATCTCTTCTTCAGATGATCTTTAAATTCAAGTGGGATACAGTCAAGGTCATATTTTGGGTTTTTTTTTTTTTTTTTTTTAGGATTAAGGTGAATCTGACCCAAGCAATGGTATTTTCAATAACCTGATATGCATACAAAAGTTGGACAGTGATTTAAGGAAGACTGCAGAAGAATTGATGCATTTGAGTTATGATATTGGAAGAGAATATTGAAAGTACCAAGGACTGCCAAAAGAACAAATGTGTTGGAAGAAGTACATCCAGAGTGCTACTTGGAGGCCTGAATGGCTAGACTTCGTCTTTCACACTTTGGACATATTGTCAGGAGGGACCAGTCACTGCAGAAGGATATCATGTTTGTTAAAGTGGAGGCTTGGCGAGAAAGTGGAAGTTTTCTAATGAGATGGATTGGCACAGTGGCAGCATCAATGGGCTCAAATGTAGCAACAATTGTGAGGCTGGCCCAGGATCAAACAGCATTT